AGAAAGCGCCATACCACTTTCCACAGGGGTTGCACCATTTTACACTCCCACCAACAGTGAATCAGGGTTCCAGTTTCTCCACAACCTCGCCGGCATTTATTGCTTGCTGTTCTATACAGGGAGCTCTTGTGGCCTAGTGAGTAAGGTGTTACACTGCCAAGTGAAAGACACGTGGTTTGAGTCCGCCAGCTGCTCTGCAGGAGAACGGTGGTCAGTCTCCTCCCATGCGGCGTTCTGCCTCTGAAAAACTTCAGGGCCAGCTGTGGGCCAGTTCTTCCTCGACAGTATATAACAACAGTACTATAAAAAGCCCAGTTTGTGTATTGACTCAGTGAATCATGAAAACAACCCAGGGGATGTTTTTGTTACCTAACTCTGCCTCTGTTGTTGTTATGTGCTTTCAAGCTAACTATGACTCACAGTGACCCTATGAACTTTTGCCCTATTTCATGCCATCCCCACCAACTCCCCATGCTTGAACCCCTTGTTCAAGCGTGTCACGGTGTCAGTCCATTTTATTGAGTGTCTCCCTCCCTTTTCTCCGCCTTGGCAAGCAGGGTATCTTTTTTCAAGTGTTGACACTTCCTGACAAGATGTCTAAAATACAGAAAAAGAAGTTTCCCCATCCTCACCTCCAGGCAGCACCTTGGCTGCTTGCGTGGTCCAGAGTCAGGAAAAAGGTGTGTCAGGGACGAATCCCTTCTCCATACCTGTTTAGCGTGTGTGCTGAGTAAACCGTGGCCTCTTCTGAATCCAGTGTGAATTTCTATAAATTCCCTGTGGATGGACAGTTCCAACCATTTTGAACAGTCTTCCGCAAGATTTGACTTGCATGTGATTTTAATGATGTTGTTCTATCATTTCTGCTTACTCTTGGATCACCTTTCTTTGGAATTGGCACAAATATCAACCTCTTCCAATCTGTTGGCGAGGTAACTGTCTTCCAGATTTCTTGGCCCATTGAAGGAGCATGTCCGGTGCTGCAACCTTTTGTTGAAACATCTCCCTTGGAGTTCTATCAGTTCTTGGAACCTTGTTTTTCACTGCTGCTTTCAGTACAGCCTGCACATCTACCTTCAGTATCATTGGACCTGGACCATGTGTTATTTATTTCTGGAAATGGCTGAGTATTAATCAGGTGTTTTTGCTAGAGTGATTCTGTATCCCATCTGTCTTCTTTTGATGCTTCCTGTATCATTCACTATATTGTCCATAGGAAGTTTTTAGCATTGCAACTCAGGACTTGAATTTTTCCTTCAGTTCTTACAGCTTAAAAATGTCAACCTTAGGGAGTTCTGGTGGCCTAGTGGCAAGATGCTGCACTGCAATCCCAGAGGTACGTGGTTCAAATCCACCAGATGCTCTGCTGGAGAAGGAGGGGGCAACCTCCTCCTGTACCAGTCAGATCTGATTTGACGGACAACCTTGTTTTTCTTTTTTATATATTCAGTCCAGGATTTTGTACATTTCATTACAATAATGTGTTTTCTCAAGCTGCCCCTTTGAAAACTCTACATTGGTTCCTTTTGCTTTAACTTCTCTGTATTGTAGAGCAGGTTTTAGAGTTCTTCTGGCATCTTTTTTTCCATTTTATTTCTTTATTATTATTAATTTTAATGAAAATTTACAGAGACTTTGGATTTCCATTCATTTATTGTTGCACTTTTCTCCCTGTGGGCCCCCCCCCCACTTTGCTCTTCTCTTTGAAAAGTAAAAGAAAAATTCTTTCATTGTTTTACAATCCCTCCCTCCAAGTCCACCCCACTATGCAGCCTTCGCTCTGGACTCCTTTCATGACAAGAATACCTAGTCATGTATCCCTTTTAAACAATTTTCTCCCTCATCTGTTTCAATGCAGTATACATTATTTATCCCATCTTTCTCAGTCTTCCTCTAACCACTATGTCAGTCTTGTTTTACAACAGTGACAACATGCAGTATTTGTCCTTTTGTGACTGAGATATTTCATTCAGCCTAATGTCCTCCAGGGTCACCCATTCTGAATAATATTGCATGAGTTCCTTGTTTTTCAATGCAGCATAGTACTCCATTGTGTGAACATACCACAGCTTCTCTATCCATTTATTCGTTGATGGACACTTAGGTTGTTCCCAACTCCTTGCTATTGTGAACAAAGCCGCGATAAACATGAGTGTGCATGTATCTTCTTGGGTGGCCTGGCATCTTTTTAGCCTCTCCTTTCTCTCCTATACTTTTAATGAGCCTTTCTTCCACAGTGTATGATGTGCTCGGAATTATCCAACAGCTGTACCAGTCTTCTGTCACCTTACTGTACTCTTCTTGCAATGATGGAAGCTATAGCCTTGGTATTTCAAATGCCAGCAGGGTCATTCATGGTGGGTAGGTTTCAAGGGAGCTTCCCGACTAAGACAGAAGAGAGAATAGCTCTGACTGTGCACATCTGAACTAGTGGGCCATTGAAAACGTTATAAATAACAACAGAACATTGTTTGAGAGAGTACTTGAAGGCCCTTAGATTGGAAGATACTCAAAATGTACTCATCTTAGCAGGGAGTTCTGGTGGCCTAGTGAGTAAGGAGTTGTGCTGCCAGCTAAAAGACAGGTGGTTCGAATCTACCAGTCACCAGCTGCTCTGTGGGAGAAAGACAGGCAGTCTTTTCCTGTGCATTTTACAGACTGTGAAAATGTGCTGGAGGGTCAGCTACGAGTCGATAACAACTTGATGGTTCTGAGTGAGCATCTTAACTGAATCCCATCACCAAGCCTTTTCTCCTGTGGTCCTGGTAGGTGAACTTGAACCAGAACCTTTTAGGTTACAGTCAATTTCTACCACGTGGAGGCATTTATGTACTATTTATAGTTTCTGTGTGGTGTCACGCTATGTCACATGAGAAGCCTCTAGGAAAGAAATTGCTGATTCAAATGCACTGACCTCTCCGTGGGAGAAGGATGGGGCTCTCTGTCTTCATGAAGAGTTACAGCCTTGGAAACCCAAGACAAGGTCTCTCTCCAAGGATCAGAGTCAACGTGACAGCAGCAGGGTTTTTTAATAAGGAAGGAGCCCTGGTTGTTCAGTGGTTAAGCACTAGACTGCTGATGTAAAGGTCAATAGTTTGAACCCACCAGCTGCTCTGAAAGAAAGAAGTGGCATTTTGTTTCCATAAAGACTTTTGTTCTTGGAAACCCTTTGGGCAGGCTCACTCTGTCCTGCAGGGCCACTATAAGTTGGAATCAACTGGACAGTGGTGATTTTACTTTCACTAGTTCATTTATAAAAATCTAATTTAAATTTGAACAAATTCTTTCAATTTCCCTCATCCCCCCCATCAATTTGTACAGCCCAATGATTAATCCCCTCTTCCCCCTGCACATCCACATCCCTCTGCTTCCAGCCTCTCCCACCTTCCTATATCCTTATACTTTCTACAATAACGGTTTTATACAATATTTATCCTTGTGGGACTGAGTTAGTTCACTCAGCATAACGCTCTCCAGTCCTTCCCAAGTTAGGCAATAATTTACAAAGTTATTGCTCCTGCGTGCTGCATAGTATTCCACTGTGTGAATGTACCATAACTTCTCAGTCCATTCATTTGTGGTTGGACATTTGGGCTGCTTCCATGTTCTTGCGATGGTGAATAATTTTGCTATGAACATTGGTGTACAAATCTTCATTTGTGCCTCAGTTCTCATATTATCAGGGTATATTTCAAGAAGTGGAATAGCTGGGTCATATGGAATTTCTATGGTCAGCTTTTTGAGGAAGTGGTGATTTTTTTAAGAGAGAAAACGATTAGAATCTGACAGGAGCTCTAGTGGTAAGGAGTTGTGCAGCCAACCCAAAGGCAGATGGTTTGAATCCACCAGCTTCTCCATGGGAGAAAGAGAAATCCTCTTTGCACAGTACAGCCTCTGAAAGCCTGCTGGAGGGTCACCCGTGAGTCAGTTACAATGCAATGGTGTGTACCAGGGGATTGTCAGAGGCAGGAAATGACACAGGAGGAGACTGACCATTTTTCTCCAAGGATGAGAACTACATGCCTTTGGGTTGATGTTTCAACTCCCTACCACTGAGCCACGGAGTTCCCTAAAGAGCCTGTTAGAGTTGTTGTTAGGTGCTGTTGAGTTGAGTACAACTCATAGCAACCCTGTGAACCCCCACCCTGAACCCTGACCCCTGCTCCATCCTGTGCCATGCTCACCATCCCTGACATACGAGAGCCCATTTTCATAGAAGGCGATTTTTCATGCTCAATTGCTTTTGAACAGTGAAGTTTGAATATCGGAGACCTGTCCGGTAGTCTCTAACCTGTCGTCTCAGCAGCTGCCCCGCTGGGGTCCCACACAAGCCTTCGCCTTCATAGGACGGTGCTGGACTCTCCTGACTTCCCCCTGCGCTTTTCATTTGCAGGTTGAAAACGAGTATGGCAGCTACTTTACCTGTGATTACAACTACCTGCGCTTCCTCCAGAAGTGCTTCCGCCGCCACCTCGGGGATGAGGTGCTTCTGTTCACCACCGATGGTCTATCTGCGAAGTCAGTGGGGTGCGGGACGCTGGAGGGTTTTTACACCACCGTGGACTTTGGGACAGGTCAGTGTGTGCGTCACCGAAAACACCGCTAAGCCCACGGGGCTTCCACGGTTTGCTCTGGGCAGCTGCTATTGTTTTCAATTTTTCAAAATTTTGTTTAGAATAAATAGAACACTGTCAGGAGGCCTGTTCCATTAGGGAGGGCCACCCTGGGAGAAGGAAGGGGTGAGGGCTGTTCCAACTGTGAGAGGCCCCACCCTGAAGCAAGTCACCTCTTTTGGACCCTGGGCCTTTGATTTGTAGCTTTACAACTTTTCTATCTTTTCTTTCTTTCTTTCTTTCTTTCTTTCTTTCTTTCTTTCTTTCTTTCTTTCTTTCTTTCTTTCTTTCTTTCTTTCTTTCTTTCTTTCTTTCTTTC